AAGGACTGATGCACACACTGAAATAATTTCACAACGGTTTATACTGAACACCAGTAATAAAATTAGCAGTACTGCACTTTTTGTTTGCATTAACATTAAAATAATAACATTGACATCGGGGATGTACTATTACGTTGATCTGGATTGATATATATTGCAATATTATCGATGCAAAGTGAAAACAGTAATACATATCTCCATCATTGAGAGGGAGCTTAAGTTTGACACTCCCATGGCACGTCTGTTACCACTTCCATCCAAGCGCACCTCCTTACCAGTCATTAAAACAGTGCTAGCGGTCCAGCTCCAGGCAGATAATGGTAAGCAGTCAAGAAAAAGACAAAGAGGATATTTACTGATATCGTCTCATATCAATCACAGGCCCCTGAATTGATTTAAATTGAAATCGTATCATGGCGGACTTAAGTCACTGCATCTCGCGACAGATCAGCATGTTTGAATTTCAGCCTGCGTGCATATTTTCTCGGCCTGACAATGTTAAAATAGAGTAGCTAATGTTGCTGTATCGGGAAGTTAGCAGGATGAGATGCCTGACCAGGCAAATAACGTTACGTTTTGTTTTATCTGGTAACGGCCTTGTGTAGGTACGGCATGTGCTTTTTCTGTTAACCCCTTATTCCTCTGAAATCGAAAATATTTCCACACTGCTGATTTATTCCCAAGCAAAAAACATTATCCTCATCGTTGCTCTCTTGGCTGCTCGCCATCTGACTGCCTCTGTTTGACGTTGACGCAGACTTTCAAAATAAAAGCATGTCGGAAAGATGACAATGTAGATCGATGTTTTCACTTTCTGTCGGGGAAACTGGATCGTTGATCATTGAACCGATATATCGATCCAGATCGATGGCCTAGATCGAATAGAATAGCCTGTCTTTAATATGCTCGGTCAAGTGTCCGTGTCGCTGTAGATGAGGACAAGGGACCAGTAGCATCTCTGGGTTTGCCTGCTGCACGCCCACTCTGTAAGTGAGGGAACAGCCAAACAAACCCACGTTACATGCTGCTTTCTGCGTCAGGGAGACTGGTGCTGAGTTGGATGATGCTGGACAGTAATTACTGACTTTATTGAAACGAAATCACACACAATGTTAATGATAATTAAAAATTGAAACAGTAAGACTAACAGTTGGGAATTTAACAGTAGTTAAATTCCCAACTGTTTGTGATGAAGGCAGTGGAGCACTACAGTTTCTGTGCTGCTGCTCATCTCGGCTCGTACCTGACCTATTTCTTTTCCTCTTGGTGTGATCGACGCCTGAGAGTGATGCCTCAGAGACTGCTCTGATAGAACAGTTTGGATTGAAACAAGTTGCTAATCTGCAAGCTTTGCCAGAACTATTTAACTGTGGTATTTATAGATCAGAGGGAGGATATTTTTTTTCATTTCAGCCCCAGTCTGTCTCTGTGCTCTTCTGTCTGCTTATCCCTGTGTTTATTTTCAGAGTCCAAGTGATTTTTAGCATCTCGTGGAGCAATCTGCTCTTTACAGGCTGGGGGCTCACTAAATGAAGCCGAACATAAAAAGACCACAGTCTGCCGGGGAGAGTCAAGTGAAAGTGTTTTGTATCCTCACAGCATGAGTCTATGTGTGCTGGAATGGTACACACACTCTCGGCACACTTAACCTGGAAAGCAGCCAGCGTCTCTTTGTGCTGGTCTACTCAGCTGTGCGAGGCAAGGTCCGCCTGAGTCAGATGGCTCAATTACGGCAACCCAACCAATCTTGCCTCAGGATCAGAGGGTATCTCTGTCTTACACACTCTAACAAAGGCAGCGCCCTGCACGTTCTGTTTGGACAAGACCCATCGACCATCATCAGCCTCAGGGGATGACCCCAGCATCACCAAGGAAATGCTGCTTTGTGGAGCACAGGATGTGGGAGTGGACTCAGACTGTTATGAATCCTAGGGCAGGCCCTCCCATTGATTAGACATTAACATGAATATAACTGACATGTATTGTTTTCTGTTAAGATTTGTGAGCTCATTAGCTCAACATGATGACTACGCTGAATGAATACTCATAAATGACTAATTGAGGGGCTGCAGCTAACGATCGTTTTTATTTATTTTACTGACTTTTTCTTCTGAAAATGCTTTCTGATGTCCTCAAGTTTCTGTTTTTTCCTGACCAAGAGTCTAAAATATAATGACATTTAAATTACAATGATATAAAACAGAAAAACGGCAAATCTGCACATTTTAGAGGCCATCTATCTTGAATTTTCTTTCTGTCTTTCTGAAAACCAATTTTTTTCCCCCTCAATTAATTAAGTTCCCATGACATTCATTTAACAAAACATTTTCATCCTAACTAGAACACAAAAATGACTCCAAATGCTTGTCACAAAGTGAAGTGTACAGGCTAACATAACTAGGGATGCATTGATGAATTGGCTGAACACTGGTATCAGACGATATTCGCCTTGTTGACTGCCCTTGGCCTTTTATTAAATAAGATGAGATTTTTCTGTTGTGTGGTATCAGTTTTGCGCAGGCTAAAAAGCAGTCCTCGAGCCACAAACTTAAATGAATGAGCAGGTACAAGAAGAATACAGTCATTGTTTGACAAATGGGCTTTGTGGTCTCACCGTAGTGTGACGGGATGGCTTACGTTTTTCCCTGATAATGCTGCTTTGCAAACAATGAAGTCATGTTGAAAGAGAGCTAAGTGGCCACAACTAACAGCTCACTGAAGTTGCACTGAGTTGCATTATGGTGCGTTCAAGGACACAGCAGACAGCTCTGTTAGTCTGTGAAGGGGTGCAGCAATACAAATGTTAAGTGTAAAGTAGTCATTGGCTCAAGCAGTGCTACGTTTTACATGTCCTCATGGATTTAAAGTAACCAGAGTTTCAAATATTCTGCACCTTAGAGGGCATTTTATGAAATATTTTGTATGTGGATAAGAGGCTAAAATATAGAGGAAAAAAATCAGTTTTCAAAAATAATCTGTATACATGCAAACGGGGCCTGAATGTGAATGTTGCAGTAATAACAGACTCCCTCAGGGGCCCAGCGCCCGGATAACCAATTCTGCAATAAATAAATGATAACAAATCTGCCACTTACAGTATCTGAATTTCCTGAAGAAATTTCAACCAGCTTGAACACTTTGTCCATAAATTAATGACTCTGGCAAACAGATGCTGCATCTCCCCTGTGTGATTATAAATAGGCACTCCTCACCAAAAACTAATTGAAGACAAACACATCCAGTTAATATATTCAGATGCTTTACAGGAAGAAATGATTTGCTGTTATAAAGGACGATGATGTTTTATTAATCAGCCTGTGTACGGTCTGTGCAGTTTGTTCTTGACTTGTTTTTGTTTCATTGCAAACTTTTCTTATAATTTGTACTAAGTATGGGTTTGGTATATCTTCAAGTAAAGTTTTTAGTGCTTTGGTCGGTCGGTCGTGTCTTTGATGTAGGAGCCTTAAAGCAAAGCTCATATGGTGCCTGGATCATTTATTTTTATACCGCTCACCAGAAGAGCTTGTTAGGCGTCTGCGTTCTTGAAACTGATAATGAGCTTGAACGCCCTTTGAACAAAAAGCGGGGTTTATTTGTTTAACTGCCCGTCGCTGGACCACCCCTTCGCCCTCACTTTGTCTGTTTGTTCTAGTATCTCAGAGGTTTCTCAGATGTTGAAGTCCATCATCAAGCAGCTCATATCAAGCCGAGCCACCCTGTTTTTATTATTTTCTTGCCTTCTATTTTTGACCCCCCTCCTCCCCACCGCCGCCCCTTCTGCTGCGCAGCTCTGTTAACCAAGTGTGAGACTCATGGCGTGCGTTTCAGGCTGCGCCGCCAGCTAATCTATATGCTAATGAGAAGATAATAATCAATGAGGTTCATGCATGGTTGGCCCCAATCAATACCACATTGCACAAGCAAATGATTCAAATGGCTACATTTCATAGAGGCAGACAGTTGGGTGGCACATTAATGTGGCGGGGCAGAGCATAAGTATGTCATTATCCTCTGGTTTTATCTCCCCTATTTCACATAAATGAATTCTGTTGTCATTAAAGAGAGGTCTGAATTCGGCTGCGAAGCTATCCCATTTCACTTTTGGGAGGGAGGGGGTTGCAATTTTCTACTCTTATTGTTTTGCATTTCATTTCCATAACTGCTTTAAATAGGTGGTTTGATGCTTTCCTGCTGCGACTTGGCTCGCCACTCATAGATTGTGATTCATGTCATTAGTCGAGTTAGGGCTTCAATGGAGCCGTTTTAGCAGGATTAGGGTTTGTTTTTTTAGTGTATAACTACCTCACAATGAGCAGTTACTGGGTAATAGGCGTCCTGACGGATCCCAACTCTGCTTCTTTACTCTCTGGAGCCTCAGTGTCAGTCTTGTCAGAAAATTGATGATGATTACTGTCCTGCCAGTAGGATAATGGGTCCAATGCTCAGCCTGGCCATAAGTCACTGCTCCTGTCCTTAGCTGAGTGTTACGATACAAAATTGGCCCACTTACTGCTGCTGGTTATTTGTGGTGAAGGTGCTTTCTATAAATGGTTTAAACCCTGTCCCGTGGACCTTCAGATTTGAAGCACTGAAATGGAGCCTTCAGTTTTCCAGCTGTCCAGACGCAGACTAAACAAAATAGCTTGCTATCTTTGAGCTGTCATTCTAATGAAATACCTCCTTACCTTGGATTTGACTTTTAAAAAAATAATCTAGGTGATGATTACAGTCTACCTTATGTTGAAGGGTCCATGCGTCCAAAAAAAAATCAGTATTCAGGCAGCAGCAGAGGGGGAGGGGAAAGAGTAAAATCATTACCATCATCTTCATTAGAGAGGATCCTGCTGTCCAATCAGCACGCCGCTCCGCACGGGGATTCCATAGGCACCCCGTTGGCTGTCGCTAGGATACCACATAATCAGGAGGCAGGCCGCGGCCTGGTTGGTGGAGTCGGGTGTTGATGCTGGGACGACGAGCTCGCTGTGTGTTGGGGGTAGACAAGAGGGGCTGGGGGTTTTGGATACAGCGCAGATACACGCTCGCACACGCTCATTCATTCAGTCAGTCAGCCAACCAGCCAGCCTCTTAGTGAGGCAGACAAAGAGGAGCAGCATCCTGCAGGAGGACAGCACGCTCCCGGGGGATGGGGCATCATACCCCTGCATCGCGTTGGGGGGGTCGGAGGAGGTAGGAGCACCAGGGTTAGGGGGCTTTGTCTCAGCAGCAGAGTACCCCCTCCACATACACACATACACAAACATACACACAAGCATACATTTCTCTGTGGATCTCATGGCTATTAGAGCCATTATCACACATCAATGGATTTGTGCAGCTGACAAATGGTATTTTTAATGTGGGTCATCAGAGTTTTCCTATTTACGGACTGCAGGATGGACACTGATGGAGGCTCCTGCACTTCCTCACTTGTGATCTAAGCTGTGTAGAGACAGCCAGTCTGTCTGTCAGTCTCTTAACAGCTCTCGTCTTCCTGCAGGCTATGCAAATCCTCCAGACACAAATCTGACAGGCGGTTCTTGCGGTCGTGAAATGCCAACATGAGTGGATCAATATGTTCTCTTGTGAGGAGTGCAAAGAGCTGAGATTGTGTTGTGATGGTGTTGACCGGCTGTTGTGCAGTGTATTACAGGCTGCTGGCACTGCTTTGATGTGCTCATATTACCTTTACCACTTTTTTCATGGGTACCAGGTTGTTTTTCTACCAAAACCAGATGAAAGCTTGATTGTAGTTGTAGATGTGGAAGTGGGGTTAAGGATTGGAGTGGAGGGAGAGGAGGTTCTCCATCGCACCCCTTCACTGATGGATGGGTGACTCCTCTCACAAGGACACCAAATGAAGGCATCATTACCAGAGGGGATTCCCTCCCCTCTGCACACATGAGGAGGCAATGGGAAGCAGACTTTGGGATGTAGGCTAATGACGGCACACAGGCAGCTTTGGCAGCAGTGGTGCTTTGTTTACAACCAGGAAGCCAGACTGGATTTCAGCTTTTATGCAGACTAGAAGTTTTAAATTCATGACAGGAACTGCTGAATGCAGCCCCATGGTTCCTTTGTTTGGGGGATTTACAATTAAATTTGTTTTTTGGTATTTTTAGTAATTGAATTTCTGTCACGTGGCTCTCCATTTGGGGGGTTTTGACCAGGGCTGCACAATATTATCATTTTTCTTTTTCTTTTAATTGTCATTTTGATGTCAATGTGCACAATATACACACTGTGGAAGACTGGGATATTGCACTCAGGGATTTTTGAGTTAGTCGAAAGAGAATATCAGTAAAAAAAAATAATTACAGATATTTCAGTGCCATTTTTTCCTTTCCAATACCAATTCTGATTCCTGAACTTGCATATTAGCCAATAGTGATATGATCCCATTGTATTAATTGTATAGAGCTGTTATTATTTTTTTAACACTGTGTGGATTTGAAATTATTGCTGTCATTGTTGTATGGCATGGCTCAGGTTAAACCCTTTGCAAAACATGAACAAATACATACAGAGAAAGAACGCCAGACAACTTTATTTTATCATTTAATTTGACTGCAAGTCGTTGAAAAAAAATAAATAAATAAAAAAACTTAAAGTGCAGCCACAACTTAGTAAAAAAACTAAATTAATTTAGGAATAAATAACAATTCTTTGAAATTTGTAATAAAAACATCAGCGCTACCCCTCGAAATTAAAGCCTTGCATACACGTTGACTTTTTACGTCGGATTTCGACGTTTAATCTTACATTGCTTACCAGAAATTAGTTTTTCTTCAACGCTCTGAAACAGTAGTGGCCCGATGCTATGCGGCGAAATCAACTGTGTAGGCTGCTGTTTTCGAGTGTTGGAGAAAAACTGATTTCTGGGAGATCAGGGTGTGACAGTACTTTGAAGTTTATTAATAAATAATGTGGTATCAGACTGGAGCATAGACGCGTGTACTTGCCGATAGCCAGTCTTGCATTTTAGACGGCACCAGAGGTATTTCAGACTCTGGTATTGGCATTGGACAAGTCTGGAGATCATTTCCTATCTTTTTTTTAACCCTAGCAATTTGATGTGTTTTCAGAAAACAAAAAAATCAGAACTAAGTACACTTTAATATCGGTTTGTTTATCCCAAGTAAAATCGCAAGATTCAACAATGTCATCTTTTTCCTCATGTCTTTCAGCCCTAGTTTTGTCTGCTGCTCATGATTTATTTAACTTGTCCTCATTTCATGTGATGACCTCAGACATTCTCGCTCAGAGAACAGTGTTAACAGGATTTCCTCTGTTTTACATGTCAAATCATCTTTAATTGAAACATGTAGGGTATATTTTTAATACGATAATTGCCTAATTCCTGAACATCTCACGTTTTCATTTAAAGCACACTCTGCAAACAAAAGCCAAACTTAAATCCCAGTCTTTTCTGTCTTTCAGTGATTGATTTGTTTACTCACATGTTTAGGGCTTCTTTGCGTTAACCATTTCAAGGAACAGCATCTGTTTTTGTAAGATTGCAGTTTGTTTTCAGGTCTGCTTTGTAGCGTAAGTGAGCTATAGAGCTGTGCACCGGCCCCTAATCCTTTCAGAAGAATAATGAGGAGGAGGAAATAGCTTAAGAATTGCAGCACGGCGGCGGCGTTGCTTCTTATTTAATTACTTCCATCACACCCTCTTTCCACTCTAACCCATTTAAAATCCTCAACCTGCTCACTCAACCTTCAACCTTCACTCGCTCTCGTTCCTGCCCCGCCACCCCCTCCTATAACTTAATGCTCACACCTCTAACCTCAAGGCTAGAAATTCCATCCTCCCTGTTTTGGCCTCCCTTTTCAGCTGTTACATCAGCTGTCGTGCTGTTTGAACCCCTCCACCCCACACACACACTCATTAATCCCTCACCCCGTCCTCTACACCACTCGCATCTCAAGTGCTCCTGTTCTGTTAGAGCTCCACTTCATCAAAGACTCCTCAACTTTATTCATATTCTTTAAAACGAACCATCATCTTCGCCTCCGCTAAGGAAGGATCCTGTCTCTCCTCCCGTCTTCTTCGCATCTCATCACCTGTCACGCTGAAGCCCCCTCCACCTCATCTCTTTGCGGTGCTCTGAACCTTTTCCTCCTGTGCTAATGGACAGCAAAGCACCAGGGGACCGACCTTAAAAAAGCTTTTATGGACGGGTCCTAAATCACTTGTTCTTTTCTCCTCCAAGACTGACAGCAAGAAATGGAAGTCTGAGATACTGTATGTCACAGTATCCTTTTGACACACTATAAGTGATTGTATGAGCAATCATCAGGCCTATATTTATATTAAAGTCAATGACGTGGTTTCATGGTTTGGGGCGTTTTGATGGGAGCGTGTGCGGAGGAGTTTTAGTCACAGTCATTAGAACAACCTCTGATGCCTTCCCAATTAACTCGCGCCAAATGCGTGCGTTCTCGTATATGTGCTTCAGCGTTTAAGATGTAATTTAGGGCGGCCACTAATGTTAGCCAGCCACTCTGCTTTTTATGCTTAATTCGCTGGATTTCATTAGCCGCCCCAAACGACATTTTTGTGTGCTTCTCTAACTGGCTTTGTTGTGCCGTGCCTCACTTTGCTGTTTTTGGGAAATGAAGTCATCGTACTGCGTTTCAGAAACTGAGTTTCTGCCTGCAGTCATACAACAGTGCAGGCTTAGTTCATTTCAACAGGCACCTAAATTTAGATATAATATTCCTGGTATGAATTTGCGCATGAAAATAAACAGACTTCAAAAGAATCATTCATTTCCCAGCTGACACTCGTTCTTCTGTGTAAGACAGAACTTTGTTATAGTGTTTACTGCAGTGAGTTCATCTGCAGTCAGATGGCACATCATTCTTTGGAAATAGCAAAGTGATTTCAGCACAGCAGGCGGACATTGTTCTGATGTTTATTTCAGGTGTTTCCCTGACTAAGAATTTACAAAGACGAATCTGATTCACCTTAGTGAATCAGTTGCCCATCATCAACTGAGAGTCTTATCATGCTTTTTTTGGTGCTATTCTCATTGCAACAGTAGTTCCCTTTTTTACACACCAGACAGACTTGGTACAGGAAATTATTTCTCAATGGGATGTGTTCCATCTAGTGCAGTATGTTGTGTGGCGGTGTGGCTCCCATTCAGTACTTTCCACAGTACTGAGTGAGAGCCAAAGAGATTGACAGATACAGACATCACCCTGTAGGGTTGCTATGAAGTCAAGGGGTGGCATCATGTCGCCCCAGTGTGCGATTTTTAGAGAGCATGCCGGCAGCCACAGCATGATACATAAAACCCGCGTCTGCCTCTGGTCTGACATATCGCACGTGTTGGCAGTGCTTTCTAAACAATAACGGCATAACATGGCAATAACAACTATTCACCATCCCTGTTATATAGAGGTTGATCTTGTCCTCTGCTTGGAGGGTAAAGAGCTCCCTGACCTCATTGTCACCCCACTTTGGGGACATTTTTAGCTGCTGTTCCTCTTTGAGTTAGCTGCTAACTGCTGTTAGTTGCTTTTAAAATCTCCTGGCAGTGGGTTGCACACATAACATGTAGTCAAAACATTACACCCATCCCGTTCATGGTCCTGTCCTGCTGACTGTCCCTATTACACATATGTTGATTCAGCACCGTTACTACCTCTGCTGCCTGTTTGAAGGCGAGACAACTCTGTCCCCTTATTCCACAACCTGCATCAAGGCAGAATAATAGCGTGACATTCCCGCATTGGACAGGGAGTATAGAACGTGCTTTAGTTTGGTTCCTGCTTGCTTTCGTTGTGACAGGACTTCTGAATTTCTCATAGATAGATAGATGCAAGCCACAAACCGCTGTTTCCATACACCTCCCCCCATTGATTAAAACAGAGAATCGGCCATAAGTCCAAAAAGTATTTAGTGTTCTACAAATGCCATGTTCCTGTGTGTGCACTGATTAATACAACTATACAAAAATAGGTGATGTATCATGATTTACTGAGAGAAACTAAGCAATTCTTTGTGAAATTAGACATTCAGCACCCTCATACAGTATAACCTGAATGAAATTATCCTTTGTTTCATAACCACAATTTCCTGCTACGGCGACCATGGGTCCAGGGTCACCCCCTTGTGAATTCTTAAAACTTTATTGTAACTGAAGCTCCCATATATAAGTCAATAATCAGGAAACTATTTTATTGGCAACTAGTTTGATAATTTGTAAATAGTCAATTTCTCGAGCAAAAATGCCAAAAGCACTCTGTTTCCTTCTTCTTATATGTCTTGATTTATGCTTTTCTTTTTTCAAATTTGATGTAAACTGGATATTTTGGGGGGGTTTGTAAGCAGACATAAGCCAGTAAAATGGATCACTTTGAGCTGTGGGAAACTGGCATTTAACTGTTGTGTGACAATGTATAGATAACAGATTAATTGAGGAAATAGTCTTGAGATGAATCGATGATGAAAATAACCATCAGTTGCAGCCCCATAAGTGTTTTATCTCTGACTTGCTCACACCCTCTTTCACTTCCTTTATGATATCATCAGATTAAATCTTTCTTGACATTCTAAATGTGTTGCTGGCCGCACATTTGAAGTTGAGCTGCTGATGAGGTGAAGTTGTTTCTCTGCTTGTCCATTATATTATTTTATCTGATGAAATACATTTAGTTTCTTGAGTTTGGGTACAAATCAAACGAACAGTGTGGCCATAGAAATAAAATTCAGTTTCTGTGAGTGTGGCATTTTCTCATGCTGCTCTCCTTCTTCTCTCCTCAGGCACAGGAGAGCCATTCAGAAGAGCCGAGGGTCAAAGGTGAGAAGAGCAGAGGGCACCATGGAGAGTGAGCCGGGGGCCCCTGCCTCCACGGCCAACAGCACCGGGACCACCACCGCCGCCTCCTCCACCGCCACCTCCTCCAGCACCACAGCTGCCAGCAGTAGTAGTACCTCTAACACTACTTCTACTACGTCTACTACTGCCACTAGCAGCAGCAGCAGCAGTAGTAGTAGTAGTAGTAGTAACACTAGCAGCAGTGCCAGTAGTAGTACTACAGCAGGGAGACAGACGGTGCCTCAGATATCTGTTTACAGCGGGATACCGGACAGACAAACAGTGCAGGTGAGTTTATGGACAGCTTGATATGATCATGATACTACTGCGTGTGATGTGCACACACTCTCCACTGCTCTGCTGCCCTCTGTTGGTGCATATATAACCACATACAGGCCAATACATCATTTTGTAATTGGAGGTAAATAAATGAAATAAGAGGCATTTGTCCTTCGGATCAACACCCCGATGACGAACTCATGAATGGTCATCTCATATAATCCGTCCAAGTTGTAGGAAGGAATGCTCTCTATGCTTTAGTGCTCTTGACCCTTTGACCCAGGGATAAGCCCCTACACAGGCTTACCCTCTCCCTGAATAAGGTTCATGCAGCTTTAAGTGCTGAAGCCTTGACAGCAGGGTTTTTGTTACACTCCCCCGTCCTTTTCACGTCCTCACCCTGTTGACAATTAAAAGGCAAACACTATTGTCACCAGGCATTCCTCTGAGCAGAAAGGACTGCTGGTCAGTTATGGTCAGTGAGAGCTGTGCCGCATCTCTGCTAACAATTTTACCCCCATTTCAAGAGGTGTGGGTCCGGATGCTTCCGTGACACCATGGATCACAGGTCAACATCCTCTCTGGTTACTTGGCAACCGGACAGAGGGCACTTTCAGAGGTGAAGGGTGAGGAGAGTAATTATCAAGGAGGTTTAGCACTTGTATAATTTGGTGAAGGAATCGTGATACTTTTCTTGCAGGCATTGATTAAGGACAGGGTTTGTTTATGTCTGTCTGCTTGAAATGATCACAAGTTTGGACATTTTGAAACATCATAACTAGATGTATGTGTGTCTCTCCAGAGTCAGAGTCCATGATTTATTACAGAAATAACATAAATTTGATATAATACAGTCATTCAAAGTCCATTTAATTTGACCACGGCAACTTAACTATACAATGAAATTGAATTATAATAGATAAAATGAATAAATCAAAATAAAACTAATAAATAACCACAATTTCTATTTTAAATAAATCAGAAATATCCCATATACAAACTAGTAAACAGAGGCCTTCATACTGGATAATCTAACTCTGTGGAGGGTAACATTTTCTGCAGACTTGATACTTCTTATGTCACTTGCTGGGTCGGTACCATCCATCCGAATTTGGTATTTTCAATAATGCTGTATGTGCGCATGTCCCTGTAAATAAAACACACAATCACATAGCTTCAGTCACAGGTTTGCATTAAACCTGGAGGAGTTGGGGCTGGTTAGAAGTTAGCGACTTGGTTTCTAATAAGCAGCTAGTGACAAATTTAGTGATTTATTCAGAGAAAAGGCGAGAAATATATTCATAAATATGTTGTAATTCGTTACCACATGCTGCTCAGAATTACATGGCTCTTGTGCCAGACAGAGTCTTTCCTCCTCTCTGGTGCAGCAGCACTGTGCAGGATGTCAGTATGTGTGGGGCAGGCAGGAGAAGATGCTGCTCAGTGCACTGTGGGAGTTAGTTGTACTGAGTTTCTGGGGTTTTGTTAACACTCTTGCTTTTTGGATTTTAAGTGCGAAAAATGTTTTGTTGAGGATTTTTCTATTTAATTCCTGAAGGTGTAAAATGCTTCCATTATCCCAAATTAATGTGCAATGATGCTAGCTACTTTTATTGGAAAAGAGTTAGAAACAGTGGTTGGAAGTAGCATTAGCTGCTAATGCTAGCGTTACTGCCTTGTGTTGATGGCTCCACTGTGAGCGCACACTTTGCCGTCTTATATGAGGAGTGAGGTCTGAGGTGCTACCACATATTTTGTGATACTGTTGCACATTTTGAAGACTGCATGTGCATTGTTAAGATTTCAGGCAGTGTTATATACAGTGACATTTCTTTAGCGTGGGTGTGATGTGGGTGGCTTGAAGCAGGTGGATGATCGGAGGAAGTAGGAGAGAGGCAGAACACACACACACCAACACACACAAGCTAGAGGCACAGAGCTTTTGTTTTTTAACGGCTGTATTAAAATTTGTGAGCAGATCTGTGGTTGTTTATCGATTCTCAGACTCGTCGATTTTTTAACACTGACTGAATTTAATATACGCTTACTCTGTTTTTGTGCATGCTGCATCAACCATCTCTGTCTCTGTCTTTCTGTGCAGGTGTTCCAGCAGGCGTTACACAGACAGCCTAACACAGCAGCACAGTACCTGCAGCAAATGTACGCTGCTCAGCAGCAGCATCTGATGTTACAAACTGCGGCCCTCCAGCAGCAGCACAACCTCAGCACCGCTCAGCTCCAGAGCCTGGCTGCTGTACAGCAGGTCAGCAAACGGTCATCACATGAAAGAATCATCCCCACAGTGTAAAGATGATGCTGTTATTGTCTACCCCCTCCAAGACATGTTTCAGGAAATGGTAAATTTCTCTCTTTCTCTCTGCCTCTCCTTCTCTCCTGCTGCATGATAGGCCAGTATCGCAGCTGGCCGGCAAAGCTCTTCACAGAACGGCACTTCATCCCAGCAAACAGGATCAACTCAGGCTACGGTGAGTGCAGTTTTTAGTGTAGGGCCTGTCTCCTAAGAGCCTCTTAAGTTTAAGTTATCTTTGTCCATTAGATTATCATGGAACTAAGTTGATTTTAGCACCAGGATGCTTTGAGGAAACTGGGCGCCACACTGGCTGTGCTACTTCTCTTTTGCTTTGGAAGAGATTCATATGTCTGTTGGTAACATTCAGTAAAAATGTTCACAAATTCTGGATCTTGTATATTTTAAATGTTGTTTGAAGGAGCTTTATACAACATTCAGAGCATTCATCTAGCAGCAAACAAGTATTTGCTCTGTAAAGATACAGTGGAGTTATGGCATTTTGAGCAGAAGATGAAGTCACGTTACCTCTGTGTTTGTTGTAGTTCGAGCTTCTCTGCACTGCGCTCATACAGCGCTGATATTGGGACGACTTTGTTGTGGAAATGTTGCACCCAGCCTCCATTTCAGCCCCACTAAGACACCGTATCATTCACGCTGTCCAGAGGTCAGACTACAAGAGTTTTGGGTTAGGTTGGGTTGGGTTGGGTCCCAAGTTTACCACCTCCCAAACTGTACGCAGGCTCATCAGGGCGACCACGATAATTTCCAACATGTTTTCAGCATTTAAAATCTGAATGGTTGCGGTTATGTTCACATCTGTACAGAGCAGCTGTTGCAAGGTAACGGGAAACTTTCTAGCCCTTGAGGCTAACATTAGCTAGCATACTTTTGACAGATATAAAAACTGAGATTGAACTGATAACATCTTGCCTCCAGCTCTCACTGGAAAAAAAGGCAAATTGTGTTGACCGCATCTCCCTTATCATGTTCCTATCTGCACACGTTTAGCATCTGCTTCTGTTTTGCCTTGCGGCAAAACATTATTAACATTGTCCGTTTTGTGTACATCTCTTTTCCCATGATGTGTGTCATGTCAGTTTTATTTGTAGCCTACAGCACATTTCAAAGTGGTTTACAGTTAAATATAGAAAACATGAAACAGTGATATGAAATATAAGATGCATATAAAATACTCCACATAAGTAAAATAACCATTCAGCAATCCATAAAGTGTGCGCGCACACACACACACACACACACACACACACACACACACACACACACACAGAGGATACAGTTAGACCTCACAAATGGACTGCAACAGGCAGGTTATTGGGCAGTTTGTTCCAGAGAACAGCACCATAGTGGCTAAATGCACCTTCACCTGATATAGTTGTAATCCTAGTTACATTCAGGAGACGCATGCTTGATGATCTGAGGGCTCTGTTTGGGCTATAGCTTGTGAGCAGGTTGGAAATATATGTAGGAGCCATATTACTTAGGGCCTTCGAAACAAGCATTATATTTTGAAATCAGTTCTATACTGTACTTGTAGCCAATAGCATGTTTTCAGTACAGGTGTAATGTGTTTGGGAAGTCCAGCAAAAAGGGCATTACAGTGAGGTTCATTCATGCTCCCTCTGGCACCATAACTGTAGTAATATCCTTCAGTGTGTGATCATCATTCTTTTCAAATCTTTCAGTGTGTGCATGTTTGAGATCAGAGAGAAGAACATCTGCAAAGTCTCTCCTCACGTGTACGATGCAGCCTTATTTTAAAAATTGGTTAGGATTTTAAAACTCCTGTCCTCCTGAGCCCAGCTTTAGCTGCTAGCCGCCTGTTCAGCCACCTCCATGTTGAGAGCCGTGTGCAGACAACCTCTGAATTATAGATAGGCTCTGAATATCACATAGGGCTTCTTTAAAGGAAAGCAGTGTATTGATACAAAGCAGAGGAAGTTTATAACCATACTGTCTTGTTTGTCTTCTCCCCTGCAGATCAACCTGACCACCTCCCCAGCGGCAGCTCAGCTGATCAGCCGGGCTCAGAGCATTAGCTCCACCCCCACCAGTATTTCCCAGCAGGCTGTTCTGCTGGGCAGCCCATCGAGCCCCACACTCACAGCCAGCCAGGCACAGATGTACCTGCGCGCACAGATGGTGAGATGTAGACACAAGGAGCACAGCCACTGGCATATTTACATGAGGGGGCATATATACATAAACACAACCTCACACTCACACTGCTTAAATAAACAAGCTCGCTCCAGCTCAGGTTTTTGCTTCTGTGTGTTTTGGGATTTGTGCGTGTATGTGTGTGTGTGTGCGCTTATTCTGCCATAGTAAATGGTGTGCTTTATCCTCATCTCGCCACCAGAGGAGGTGTTCAGATTAATCTTTCGGGCCCCAGAGGGCTCATTACAAACACAGAAGGGAATGTCATGAATGTGTGTGCATGCTCAGAAAACATTTTTGGGGCATCACAGGTGTTCCCTCTGCTGTAGCTTAAGCTTCAGTTGTTTTAACAGAGTTGCGAGGAATACACACTCTTTAATGGCCCCTTCTGCAGCAGGGTGTGTGTAACTTGTTGGTTTCAGTTTGCCGTCAGTTGTGCAGCTGGAACACAGACTGTTCCTGCCACCTTGTAATGACCAAGTACACAGCATTGTCAGATGTGTGTGGTGCTTCTGGCAGACAATAAAAACACATTTGTCATTTTAGATTGTCATGTGCTTTAATTTCAGGTTTAGTGTTGTGGTGTTGAAGGAGCACATATGATTCTTATTAAGCCCCACACATGTTCCTTTTTCTTTCTCTCGCTTGTTTTTCCACACATACACCAATTAGAGGTTCAAAACAGTGTTGGTGTATAATTACAATCTGTGGTGTCAGTGTTTTCTTTTAAATGCATTTATTAAGACAAAAAGTCTGCTGTTCTGTAGTTTTAATTGCAAGAAAAAGATTAAAATTGTTGCACGTTCTATCCAAAACACATGAACAGGGTCCTTTAGCTTCAAGGTCTAGTGTGTAGGATTTAGGGGCATATATTGTCGGAGATGGAATATAACCTAAGAAGTGTATTTTCTTTAGTGTATAATCAGCTGAAAATAGGAATCGTTCTGTTTTCGTTACTCGAGAACGAGCTGTTTGCATCTATAAAGGGAGCAGGTCCTTGTCTATGGAGATCGCCACGCTGCACCATCATGTTTCTACTGTAGCCTAGAAGAGACAAACCAAACGCTGACTCTATGTAGGGTCATTTGTGTTTTCACGTCAGCAACCTCAGTCTGCAGCCCCTCCAGGCGAGCATCGTAAAACACAGATTTTTTTTTTCACATGGAACTGCTTTATTCAGTGTTTTTACTGGTTTAAATCACCAGGTCTTTTTGTTTTGGTGAGGAAGACACCTCTACGGATAATTCAGCTCCTAGTTAAACCCTCCTGGATGTCTGGATATTAAGTTACCAGAGGAAAAAGGTGAACACACATTAACAGGTGCTAGGCCTGTCTCTAAACCCTCTCCGACATGCTAAACAGGTGTTTGAGAAACACAGATTTTTAACACGAAGATGCTTTTTTCCATGTTTTTACCTGTTTCATTCACCTGCTCCACTTGTTTCTGAGAGGAGGAGACCTCTGCGGATAATTCAGCTCCTGGTAAAAAGTTTCAACTGGTTGCAATCTGCAATCCTGTCTGCTTGCCTCTAAATCTTATACACAGTTCCTTTATAGAAGCAAACAGACATACTTCCTCAAAATGCAATGAAACCCATTGACTAAATATAGTACAACAAGAAAATGGCTCTATCTCAGAAACCACAAGGACCACAATTAAGTATTTAGTATTCATCAACTCATAACAAGTGTAATATCAAAGATTTGCACACACATGCAGAATAAAAATACATTGCATTTGGAAGATGTTTAATGAAAACAATGTTAGTGTTTTCCTCATTTTCTAAAATTCCTGACTTTGATGAAAGTTTGATTTTTCATTAGACACTTGTCCATGTGTCTTGTATGTCTGTACCAGATTTTAAAGCTTTAGATCAAGCAGGACAAATGTTGTGGCAATTTTTTCTGATCCTACTAAAGTTGTTGGGCACATAATCCTTTGCGTGACATTAGTTAGGTTTTTTTTTGTGGTCTGGTCTTGTTTCATTAGCCTACTTTGCTATTTTATTGGAGATTAGAGAAGAATCCAATCCAACAATTATTCCCTGACTCATCCACTTCTATGCTGTGTGTGTGTGTGATTTGTTCCAGGCCCAGCAGAGCAACCTGGTGCAGGTGGCCAGGAGCCTGGGCCGGGCTGTTCCTCTTTCCCCGCAGCTCATTTTCACTCCAACAGCCACAGTGACGGCTGTGCAGTCAGAGAGCTCCACGCCGGCCTCTTCACAGGTACACTCACTGGGAAAATGTTATCACTACAAGCTTGTTTTAAGGTCCTGGACCTGATCCCCCTAGTCAAAACATATTCAAATTCAGCGTTGAGCATACCAGGAAGCTCATTGGTTTTAAAATAATTTGTACTTCCTCTGTGATATCAGCTGGGTGATCTTAATATGCCTCCACTGGTTTGCAGCAAAGCAAAATACATCTTCGTTCATTCTCTAACAAACCCAGTTCTGACAGACTAATAATATCTGCTCCTTTAACCCACTGTTTGAAGTCTGTCTGTATCAATAATATCCCACCATTCTGTTTCTCATAGAATCAGGTCCAGAATCTTGCCATCCGCGGCCAGCAGGGGGCGACCACGTCCTCCTCTCAGACTCAGACGCTGCAGGCTCTCAGTCTGAAGCAGAGCCCTGTGCCCATCCAGCCTGCCTCACTCATCAAAAATCCCAGCCAAGTAACGCAGGCCTCCACGGGAGGGAAGGCCACCTCCTCCGATGGTTCATCTGAGGCAGGGAAGAAAGGGGACAGTACGGCAGTCACAGAGGTCCGAGCTATAAACATGAGCCGCAGTGTGACAGCTGTCAGTGCGCAGCCCCTGATTGCTCCAGGTCAGTGAAGTGTGTAAACCCACAGTCTGAGAAGTTCAAATAAGGTTGAAGTCTGAATGTGTGCAGGTCTCTGACCAATAAAACTGATCCTGACAGTGATTACAGCAGGGCCAACCGAAAGAAGGACCCAGACCCCACAGACATAATCAAAGGCATTTACTGTTTGGTCTGTAAAGTGAAAATAAGAGAAATAAAGGGTTTTAGAGCAGAATCAGTAAGTCAATTTATTCAAGTAGTATTTTTGCTAATCAGTAAATAACAACAAATATAATAAATTCATCTCTTCCAGCTTCTTAAATAAGAGGATTTGCTGATTTTCTTCATCATGTAGCTCAAATAACAAAAGCAATTGAAAGATATATTATAAAACATTTCTGCTTTAAAATGTCTAAAAACAACTAAACCTGTCTTATGTATTATGTTGAGTGGTGTAGGCACATTATCCCAAATGTTTCCAACAGTGTTCAAACCCAGAGGGATCTATAATTTTATTTAAAGCACAGTGTGTTTCATTTCGTCGCCTTTCAATGGTGTCATTTCCCCTTTACCCCCTCTAGTTGTTGCTCTAACTTCCACAGAAACACCAGATGATATGTCAGAGAGTGAGGAAGGAATTTATTGATATGATATTTTGATATCGATCCAGCTTAATACGATGTGTTACCATGACAAGAGGCTCATGCCGGCCACAAAGCTAACACATACAGTGATTTTATAATATTACAACAATGTTCAGCACGCTCATGAAGTTATTTTGCATAAGATAGTTTTGACCACAGAAAGCTACGTTGGGTTACTCCACTGAATTTCCTACATAATGTTAGCTACAGTAGTGTAAAGGTTGCAGATTTTCTTTCACAAGGATGGCAAAGGTATGACCTGCTTTACTCTCCCTCTGACTGGCTAGTACTTGTTGCCTTGGTTGGTTAGGTTTAGGGGCTGTACACATGCCGCATTTTTTGCACGCTCAAATTCATTGTTTTCAGTGAGGATGCGCGGCAGGTGCACTTAAACACCAGAGCAACGCCATCGTTGTCGAGTTCAACTTTTGGAATGCAGCAGTGCGCTGCATATCATGTGACGAGGACCAACCAATCACTTCTTCAGTAGATATCAGTCTGTAGTAAATATGGAAAAGTTGTTCATTTTGGTGCAGAGCTGCCAGAGCTTTACATCTGTCCCACGGATGATAGGCCTACACACAAACAGCTCCTGGAAGAAGATCAGCTCTGCATTCAGGATTTCAGGTAAATAGGCCATGATGCAGTACTTCTTAAGTTTGCTTATCAACCTCAGACGCAACCCACCGTCGCACTCTTGAAAGCTGGATCAAAAAAGGCACAGAAGTAGCGCCCAGAGGCCAACCTTGTGTTTTCCAGGTGTTTTAGGACGCAGCATGTGTACGGCCCGTAAGGGCAGGTCATGCCTCTGCCATCCAGGAAAAAACAAATTTGAATATGGGTAGTCAAGTCAAGTAAGTTAGCATGATAACATTATGTTAGCTAATGTTACTGCAGCTATTCCATTAGAACTAAATGACATAATGTGAATAAATGTGATTAAACGTAACTTGAATACAACTTTAAATTCATTCCTCACCTGTGAACATTATTTCTGCCTCAGTTAAGTCAACTCCCATGATCCATGCTACTTCAATTCAAATCAATTTCAATTCAATTTTATTTATAAAGCCCAATATCACAAATCACAATTTGCCTCACAGGGCTTTACAGCATACGACATCCCTCTGTCCTTATGACCCTCGCAGCAGTAAAGACATTACCTTTGCCCTCAGAAAATTGTAACAGGCCATTTTCAATATTTTAGAATTTTACAGACCGATCAGTTGATAATAAAAACAATTGTAAGGTGCAGTGTTAATTGGTAAAGAACATAAATGATGGTTAGATACTCAGACTTACATATCCATCAATCAGGTATTCCGGAGTTTATCTGATCAACCAGAAGACGCACAGAATTTAACAAATAAACTTTAGTCAAAAAGTACTTTAAAAAATCTGTGCATCCCTTTTAAGGCTTAAGTATACTTGCTGCACGAAACGCGTGCGTGTGCAGTTTTCGTGCACATTTGGCAGCCACGCATATTTTGCGGTTGTTTGGTGCGTAGACCACACGCTTTGCTGCGAGGTAGCGTGATGCGTACGCGAGATGTAATATTGGCATGAACACTAGAGGCGCTCGTGCGAAGTATAACTAGAGACTGTGAACGTGAGGTCGGAGGTGCACTGGTGAAAAGGATATAATGGAATAAAAGATGTAGGAGCAAGGTAGACCCAGAAGATGGCGGTAATGCAACGTAACGGATGGAAACCGCCGTAAAACTCCAAAGAAGGAAGAATTCCCTGTGCTTTTCCTCATCGATTGCTCGCATGGGGAAAACAAGGGAAACAAACTCCCCATGTGATTGGTTAAGGGGCCGCACATACCATCTCCGATGGCGGTGGAGACCTCTCTGCCGAGATCTTAACAGCAATAAAATTATGATCTCCTCTTCATCGAGAGTGTCCATGTTTGTGTTTATCTGGAAATACACTGTCACCGTCTTATTCGCTTTTTGTGACCTCTGTGTCTGAGTGCTGCGGTCTGCCCCTAGTAGAGACCACCCATATCAGGCGTTTTGGCTGCATCGACGAATGTCCGCGCTGCAGCAAGTATACACACAGGTGCAGCACACCGTGCACGTGTACGTTTGGCCACGCAGCAAGTATACTTCTCGCTTTAGTATTTTTAGACGTGCTAGCAGCATGAGAGATGTAAAAATACAGTCTGATGGCCTGTCCCCTATTGAAATATCTCAACAATTAATGGATGGATTGCAGGGACATATTAAACAGAAATGAATGGCAACCAGACAATGAATTGTTATGACTTACGATGCCCTGACTTTCCCTTCTGCACCACCAGCAGGTCAAAGTGTCAGTTATTTTAAATATCTCAATATCTACTCGACGTAGATCGGACTAGCAATAAACTCTAGCGCCATCATCAGGTCAAAATGTTAGTTTGTCTAGTTCTTTATTTTATGACCAAATACCTGCAAAATCAATGCATCTCATCAGCCCTATCACCCATATTAGCTTAACATGCTATACTAAGATGAAGCACTCGTCTCACAGAGCTGCTAGCATGGCTGCAGATTCTCCATCTTGTTTTCATCTGACAAAGCGTTCACAGCGGTTACAGAGCAATTGAAATGTATGTTAAATGTAAACAGTCTGCTTCTTTAAAGTCTTAATGTTATTTCTGTACAGAGACTGACACTCAATATACCATAGGAAGTTTAATTTTCATTTTTGTGGGCAGATAAATTAAACTGTCAAACTGTCTGCCAGCTGCTGCATGCTTCGTTTTTTTTTGGAAACAGATGTCCATTTCAAACCCTGAAATAGACTGGGCCCTTCAGGCAGCTGTCATATATACAGTGGAAACGTGTTCTCGTGTTTATAGTAAGATTAGATGAGAAAAGAGTTTTTACACTTTACGCTTTTAATAGCTTTCTCTGGGCCGCGAGTGCAACATGTCATGGCCTGTATCACAAAACCATTCACTCACTGAAGGGGTGAAACCAGCCGTATTAAAGAGCGTGTGTTGGGCCGTGTCTGGAACAGTCGAGCTGCTTTGTGAATTAGAAGCTGTGAAAGGCACACTGCCACGCAAGAATCTCTCTAAACCACTTATTGTGTAATTGAAAGTCAGCAGCTGTGTTATTTTTTTCATTTTAGTGTGAATGATTGTGAATATGCCAGCAGCACAAGCTGATTAAATCAAATTTAGTCCTGTTTGTTTGCAGGATAAGCCCCTTCAGATGCATTATCACATTCAGAGAGGGTCCTGATAAGACATCACATCTCACAGAGTAGTTTATTTGAGCAAGACCGAAAAAATATACATGTACCATGTGTGTGTGTATGTGCTGTGACTGGTAATTGTGTTAATGAGTGTACATGACTGTAAACCTAATATACACTGCAGTGCACCCTGTTTATGCATGCTGTTGTTTTCCTCTGCCTATTCAGATGTGCGTGTATGTTTTGGGGCTTGTGTGTGTGTGTGTGTGTGTGTGTGTGTGTGTGTGTGTGTGTGTGTGTGTGTGTGTGTGTGTGTGTGTGTGTTTGTGTGGGGAAAGGGAGGGGGAGTTGGGATTATCTGAGCGTGTCAGTGCACAACTGTGTCTTGCTTTGTTGCAGTAATGGATTCACATAAAATGAAAGGGAGGATGGAAGCTGAAAATCTGGCTGCATGCTGTCTGGAAAAATTAACGTGGGTTGCCATAGCAGCAGGCCATGAGGGACAGGTGTGCACATGAGATGCTGGGGAGTTAATACACTATGGATCAGGAGAAGGAGAGGCTGTAAGGCTGCCTGATTGGATTCAAATTAGGATAAAAGCGTGGATTCAACTTGGCTGTGAGTGGGTCATTACGCACTTTGATTTCCAACATAAAATCAGGGGAGACTTTTGGTACTGACGCGCCACTGTCTGTTGTTAATCCAGAATTTCAGCAACTACTTTCATGATTAATGGTTGGTGTCCTGTTGTGGTTAAACTGTATAATTTAGCTGCAGGAAACCAGAGATTTTTCTGGTGGTTGTGTTCACATCCTGTCCATAATAACCTTGGCTTTAATGAGTAGATATTATTAGACTCTGTGACTAATTTGTGAGTATTTTGAGCGTTGTTAGGGTATCTTAGGGAATTATGCACAATATTTATATTTCAAATTAAGTTAATTACTTACTACTGTCAAGAAAAGCATTAAGTTACGGTACTTCACTACTGTGCTTCATTACTTTTGCTTTCTGTCTTAAATGGGTTGTGCTAGGCTCAATTTTTTTGGGTTAATTGTAGTCTCGTGTAGACAGACCTGTCTCCACAGAACTGTGTGAGAAAGGCCTGAAACATAAACCATATAAAATGAGGGATGTAGCCACTGTGATGTTGGTTTGTGGACTGCCGTTTTGAAGCTTCGAGTTTGGCAT